TAGGGAAAGGGCTTGAGAAAATATCAGCATTTAATACTGGGAGTGCATTAGAAAAAGATACTGTGAGCAAAGTAATGGAAAGGTTAATCAAGAATGGAATTCGAGTTTCAGTAATTAGATAAAGCAATCATTGTCTGAATCTGCTCCTGTTTGGGGATGAAACGTGCTTGGTCTCCCAAGGGCTTAAAATTTCCTATATTAATGGTAACCTAAAATGGAAAGAACCAGAGGAGTGAGTTCAAGTCACATTCATTTAGGAAGTACTGTGGTGCAAAGCCAGAAGTCCATATAAACATCCAGAGTTAATGGTGCAAAAATAAACTGTAAATGATATACAGAACCAAAAGTTAGAAGCCATGATGAAAGAATCTGATAAAAAACCGGATTGGAGTAGAAGACATTGAGGATCTAAAACAATTGCTAGGGATATTATTTATCCATGGCTTACAGATACTGGTCAGAGAGTGGTTTTTCTTCTGTTATTGAATAGACTGACATAAATACAGAATTATGGTGGCCAATTAGATCAAGCTTTAGGGACATTTGTATATTATTATGTGGGATTTTAGGGAAATCTAGATACTATTATGATGGGTTTTGCTGGGGGCACCCAAGGCTATTTGAAATCTGCTTTTGCACAGTGAATCCTTTTACTCAAAAGTTACCAAGGAAAATATATGTACTGGGAGTAATAGCAAACAAAGCAGTTCCTAACTGAGGCTTTGTTCTAAAATTCCATTGCAATATTTTAGTAACCTGGGCTAGACTATGAGATATTCTTTGTTACCTATGCTTTTTTATCTTGAATAGTTATTTCCTATATTGCAAACATGAATTTTAGAAGGGGTATAGTATGAAAGAAAGTCACACTCATTATAGCCAAAAGGACAGAGATTAAGAGCAGAGGAAAGAAATTTGCCATATATTTATCTCAGAGAAGATTAGTTGCCCTCTTTCCTCTTGCCTCCACACCCTCACATTTGAAGCTTCCTTAAGCTGGTTTAGTCATATGTTGTTAGGAAGGAAAGAAAGCATCTAAGAGGTAAGAAAGAGTGATGGCCTGGAACCCTTACTGTTATAACCTCATGGAAAGATAGAACAAATCTATGTGTTGTGGATCTCTGTTTTCTTTGACAGCCCACCTCCTAGAATCATGATCTAATTTTTTCTTAGGACTTGAGGAACACCCTCTTGCCTTGAAGCATTAATATTGGAATTTCACACCCTTTATCTTGACTCATCTTCTGGAGAGTGTGCATATGTTCTCCCTAGTTATCAACAGAATGAGGAAAAAGATCCATAGGGCAAGCCAATCAATTTCTCTGGAAGAGATTTCTTACATTGAACCACTTCTAGTGCATTGAATGTTCACATCTTGTTCTCCTTTATGGCATTCTATAGTTACGGGAAACATAATATGGCAGTCATCTATACTAAAGTAAGATTTGCTTTAGAACTGATGATTTGGTTGAATTCTAAGATATTTTTATTGATTTTCCTTTGGTTCCAAAGATTCATTTTTCTCATAACTAATATGGGTGGAACTATATACATTCCATGTTGAATACCATTTTTGTAAAACAAAATAGAGCAAAATATACTCGAAGATAATCCTCCTGTGAACCCTCTCCATTGATTACTATTAAATACATTTTCTTAAAGGTGTGTGTGTGTGTATATATATATATATATATACACACACACACACACACACACACACACACACACACACACACATACCTGAGGAACTGTTTGTCTTTTAATATAATTTTTAATAAGGGCTCAAAAATATAAAGTAACTTTTTAATTGTACCACATATGCATTAAAAATACATGAAAATCACAATCATCAATCTGTTAATAGTGGTTATTTAAGTGGTAGAATGTTAGGTGATTATTCCTTTCTTTCTGACAATTTTGTATATTCTTTCTAATCAGAAATCATGTTTTATTTATGTAATAAAAACAAAGATTTTGCATTGTGGATAAAAACATTTTATCTCCATTTTTTATAACATAAATATAGAAATATTGACTTCAGGAACCTCTGTTTTGTGTTATATTCCACATTAGCAATTCTCTTTTCTTAGTTAATAAACATTATTTTTAGAGCACTTTTAGGTTCACAGCAAAATTAGCAGAAAGTATAAAGAGTCTCCATGTTACTCCCTGTCCCCACATATGTACAGTATCCATTATCCACATCCTGCACCACAATGGTATATTTGTTACAATCAATGAACCTACATTGACACAGCATTATCACCCAAAGTCCAGTTTACATTAGGGTTCACTCTTGGTATTGTACCTTCTATGGGTTTTGAGAAATACGTAATGACATATACCCACCATTACAATATTGTACACAATAGTTTCACTGCCCTAAAAATCCTCTGTGTTCTGCCTATTCATCCTTATTTTCCCCTAACCTTTGGCAACCTATAATATTTTTACTGTCTCCATAGTTTTTCCTTTTCCAGAATGTCATATAATTGGAATAATATAGTATGTAGCATGTGTAGCCTTTTTAGACTGGCTTCTTTCACTTAGTAATATGCATTTAAGTTTCCTCCATGTCTTTTCATGGCTTATTAACTCATTGCTTTTTAGAACTAAAGAATATTCCATTGTCTGGAGGTACAACAGTTTATTTATCCATTCACCTATTGAATGACATCTTGGTTACTTACAAATTTTAGCAATTATGAACAAAGTGGGTATAAACATCCATGTGCAGGTTTTTGTGTGCACACAAATTTTCAACTTGTTTGGATAAATACAAGGACGCTTGATTGCTGGGTTTTATGGTAGGAGGATGCTTAGTTTTGAAAACAAAAAAAACTGCAAAACTATCTTCCAAAGTGGTTGTACCATTTTGCATTCCCACTAGCAATGAATGAGGTTCTTGTTGCTCCACATTTTCACCAGCATTTGGTATTGTCAGTGTAAGTAGGTTTTGGCCATTCTAATAGGTATGCAATAGTATCTCATTGTTGCTTTAATTTGCAATTCCTTAATGACATGTGATGACATCTTTTCAGATGTTTACT